GCAGCTAACAGCGGTTACAATTTATGACTACCTTGGTGAGGCGGCGACGCTCGATTTGAAACGCCATGTCAACGTAATTTTAGAGATAGTAGGAAGTGGTGGTTCGTAGTCGACGAAAACTGTCGTGGCCATGTAAGTAAGGAACGCCTGTTAGCTAATGTGTGTGCCACCAAGTCCATAGATATGGTTAGTCGTCCATACATCTGAGTTTGACGGGCAGACGTGTGAGTGGACGGTTTCAAAAGGGCGGTCGAACCACAACGGTCTTTGTGGCTGTGTTCCACGGCAGTTAACTTGCAGGCATCTAGGGGAGCTGCAGAGCCTTACTAGCTACCAGTTAGCGACCACGTTGAATAGCAACGTATTGAATAAGGATTTGGGGACTTTCTAATATTATGACTTGCGCGGAAAGACGTGCCAACTAATACTTAAAGTTGTGCGAGTAGATCATTTGTGGTTTAAATGTTGTAGAGCAAGCGACTGGTAAATAAACATGCATTACATTATCGTGTTGAACGTTTGAACGATCGGGTGAACTCAGTAACTCGCGAATGCAACTTACGGAAAAGGATCGAGTCTTTGAAAGATGAACTAGGTCATGGGCTCAACGCCGCATGAGTTTCGTGGATCTGTGTTAAGTAATCAACGGAGTAACATTTTTTCAATCTGTCATAATCAGTGCCTTAAGCTTATAGGACGATTTGCTTGGATATATGCTACAAAGACAAGCAACCTTAAGCAACCTGCATAGGCTTCCGACAACTGTTGCTTTCGCTTCAGTTTGTTGTGAGCATCGTTGAAATTACTGATAGCTTTGGTAGCGAGCCAAATGTTTCAATTTGGGATTTTGGTAAAGTCATCCCGGGTACGTTTTGGAACCGATGGAAGTTGTGTGGTGGTGAAAGGAATATTGATACATGATGTTGGGTCTATTAAGTGTGTTGGTAATGTGTTGGAATATTGGTAGCTTGGGTGGTAATTGATCAATTACCAACTATTAAGTGTGTGTTTAGGGTCCATCCGGGCGCAGTCACGCTATGCACAGGGCAGTGACTGGAGGAAGTGGTTGGTCGTAACCCACGCCGTAAAGCGAGGCATGAGTTTGAGAATGGCGTCATCAGTGTTTTTATCGGGTCAGTATGCAGTTAAGGAGGGAGTTGTCAACGGTGCAGTTATAGAGTCGTTGGGGCCACGGAACTGCGTATCCCTTCTCCGACCCTTGACGACCGTTACGGGGTTGTCCATAAACCGAAGCATGTCAGTGCGATGATGGGATGGCACTGTCATACCCAGTGAAATGGCACTCCCGTAAATATTTTCTCCAGAATCTCGACCGCAACCGCTCGCCCACTCAAGGCTGTAGTTACAACTTCGAGCAGTTCCCATCCGGCCACGTCTCTGGGATGAGCTCTTCCGTACCCAATAAGTTTTCGCTCAGATTTGGCTAGCCTGGCTTTCCTACACAGTCTCCTAGCCCTCCAGGTTGGGGGTTGGAACATGTACGGCGACGTGTTCCGTAAAAACAGACGGTAATGTACTTGCATTTCCAGCCGAACACCGCTGCCTTGCGGTTAGGCTTTTGAGCCAAAGGCTTTGGTTGAGGACCCCAATCATCTTCCTGTCTAGGTGTGGGCGCTCGGCAGTATCCCAGCCCACATACAACCATGAACCGCTGATGATACTCCTATCACCACTGCACAATGCTTCAAGTTGTCTTCCAATATCATACTGAACCTAAACCGAGGTTCCAAAAAAGAGTATTGGGTCGAAATTTGCTGATTAGACATCTGTATTGTTACGCCTGACGAGTATAAGGCATGAAAACGTTATTCAACCATGCAACTTGGTGGAATGTGCATAGGATATTCCCTAGACTATAGCTCTTGCGTAAAAACACCGCAAAACGCTAGAATACGCTTCACTTGTCTTCTGTATTTTATCTAGTAAATTGCCAATCATACGCAATTCGACAGTAGTTGATGGTCGGTAGTCTTGAATGTTCACCTACTTTAGCGAAACGCTATGCGCAACATTTCGCTCCAATTTGCAACCGGGTTAGACGGGCACACCCGTAAATTTACCGCGTCGAAACCCCAATCGCTTCGGTGATATTGATTTCGACCTTTTTAGGGAGCAGTTATAATTATCGCGTTAGCTTACTGCATTTCTCTGTGTGCATGTCCAGGCCATAACGTGCCCGGTTTTTGCCGGAATTTATTTCAATTAATTTTTACGCGGAAATTTTGGTACGCACTTCACCTTAAGGCTGACCGGTCATGATTCAGCAACGTGTGAGTTCGGATTAAGCGATGTCAGTGGAGAAATTTATGGCCTACATGCTCTCCTGTTTCGTATTATTTTGGAAAGCGCATAACAAATAACTGAAGGACAACTGTGTGGCACTCGTGCGCGCAGCCAGCGAAACAAGAACCAGTGCTGTATTGCTTTGAGAGTTGCAGTACTTCAAATGCAGAAAGTGACCTAAGGAAGCAAGTAAACTTCGAGAAATCACGGGAAGCAAATGAGTTGGGCACATTTTCTAACGTTTTTCTAACAGTATTCGGAGTGCCAGTCATTTGGTCGAGTTTTATATGCAAAGGCATCGATTCCATCTGTCAGCCATCTCCTATTATCTTGTTCATGATCATATGGTGACTTAATTTTGGCACGTCCAACCACCTGTAAACTAACGGTTTACAGGTGGAAATTTTGACGCCTGTGCTATTAGCATGAAATGTGAAACACCGCCTTGAAGTACCAGTGGTTTGTAGCCGATAATCTCAACAGGGCCTTTACCATCCAAGACATCTGTATTCATTGCCGGAAGGACCGATCGAATTTGTTGATGTAGTAACCGGTGTTTTGTCGCACACGGTATGTCCCTTCGGTCCTGGGGCACGGATACAAGCATCACGGTCCACGGAAGTGTACTCTTACACTCACTCTCTCCCCTGGTACTGTTAAATTTATGCGATAAATATCAGATCAAAACCGGTCAACTCGAAATTTCACTCACATCAGCCCTTATACACCTGATTTCCCTAATCACACTACCACTCTGCGTGCTTATATCGCTTTCGCTAAATCCCTTGTGCTGTAATATAGTTTGTTTGAAACCCAACCCTTGGTCGCTAGTGTATTAAACACAAATTTATCTACATCTATTCCATATAATCACTTGCCATGCCCCTAATTGCGGTAGACGTCAAGTTTTTCTTTCTCTATATAATAGTGCACGTTAACCCATTTGATGCCTCCTTAAGCTCACCATGCTTTACTAATCTCACCACATCCCCTCACCTTCCCAAATCGTGAACTTCGGCAATTCTCGGTTCG